CTTGTACTGAATCCTGGATGGTGACATTATGCTGTTTGTCACGATATACGTAGATGACCTGCTGATAGTTACAAACAAGCGGGCGTTGAAGAAGCTGAAGAAATTTTTGATTAAGAAGTCCAAATGAAAGACTTGGGTGAAGCTTCACATTGCCTGGGAAGTCGAACTGTCAGAGATCGAGTGCAAGGGCATCTTTCGTTGGACTTGTTCACCATGCAAGTGGCGGAATTCATGGCACTTTCGCGGACCATTCAAGAAGCGATGTGGTGGAAGAATCTGCGTTCGGAGCTTACCGAAGTTAAAGCAATGCCAATCTGCTGCCATAATCAGTCGGCAATCAGCATCGCAAACAATGGTTCGTATAACCAATTACCCTTTTGAAGCAAGCCGAGTTACGCCAATTCTTAGACATCGCGGATTAGGGAGGAGTGAACACCAAACCATCAGCGATTTTGTAACGTTAGCAAGTATTTAGAGAATAAACGTCAATTCCACTTTGTTCCTTCAAACCTGATGCACCGTTTTTCTTTTAACTCTGCAAGAAAATCGGATCGTGAGAATTCCAATCCAATTATTCAGTTTTGAGGTTAGGTTATCTAATGATGAGATGGGTCAAATTAACAAGTATTTTAATAGTTGCAGTTAAGTACTCGCGTTTGCTTACAATTTTCACTTAGTTGAAACTAATTCTTTTGGCGCTTCGAATAAAATAGCAATATTTTAGCTTCAACTGCATGAAGTAAATCAATGATTATTTATACTGCGCAATCACGGAACTTTCTCCAACTCTATCTAAACATGTATTTCTTAGCTAAACCACAACCCTTCACTAACAAGTAACTTTAAAACACCTTTACTAGTTTAAGTAAACAATTGCTAATAGTTTTACCACGCGTTCTTCTGTTTACTTCGGTTCGCTATCGAAAACATTCGACGTTGCGAGTCGACATTCGTCCGAATCAGGGAGAAAGCGAACCGAATCGCCCAAGTTTCCCAACAACCTGAATTTTAATAGGTGTACTGTTTGGATCTGAAAATATCGTAAACAATACCAAAACTGGGTTGTCCCAGTCATAAGATATAAGGAAAAATAAAAGTTGCTATTTCTCGACATGCTGTTATTCCACATGGGAATGTTATCCGTGTATAGGCAGTATGCTAGATAAATCAAAATCTAGGACTTGCAGATATTTGCGTAGGTTAGAAGGAAAGGGATGCAAGTCACAAACCAGGAAAAGTGTGAAAATTACAGGTCACTAAATATGCTTGTCAACTGGGAGCCACTATGAACTGTCAAACTGGAGCCAAACATTCAGAAGCCACAAATGTAGTTACTCTTCTTACCCATCGTGACGTATTCTCATCTCATTGAAATTAATCAAATTTGTGGGACAATGGGGGACCAAACATTCTTCCATGATCATTTGTCTTTTATACAGACGGCTCTAGATTGGATAATCGTGTAGGAGCAGGGGTAACAGGTCCAGGTATAAATATCTCAATATCTATGGGCTACTGGCCTACCGTGTTCCAAGCAGAAGTCCAAGCAATTCTTGAATGTTCTCAAATTTGCATGCGTAGAAATTATAGACATTCGAATATCTGCATTATGTCTGATAGCCAAGCAGCACTAAATGCTTTGAAATCAGCAACATGTAATTCTAAACTTGTATGGGAATGTGCAATGTCACTCCAAAAATTGGCCTGCCAAAACCAAGTGAACATATTTTGGGTTCCTGGTCACTGTGGAATTCAAAGGAATGAGAAAGCCGACACACTAGCTAGGCTTGGATCATCTCAACAATTTATAGGACAAGAACCATTATGTGGAGTTTCTGCTTGCTCTCTTAGAATGGAGTTCAAGAAATAGGAAAAAAATGAAAGTGGAGACCAATTGGAACAACACTCTCATTGCTAGGCAGTCGAAACGGTTTATTAATCCGAGCATTTCAATGACTAGCACTAGTATGTACACTGGTTTAATAACAGGGCACTGTCCATGTAAATATCACTTGAAGCTAATAGGAAAACTTCAAGATGACATGTGTCGAATATGTGGCATAGAAAAAGAAGACTCTGAACACCTGTTATGCTCTTGTACAGCAATCTTCAATAAGAGGCGTATTTTTCTGGATAAGGGGCTGACAGAACCCTTTGATATTTGGAATTCAGTTCCCAGCCAAGTAGTGCAATTCATTCGAAATGTAATACCTGACTGGGAAAATGCTTTCGGTCAGTCTATGTCGGTCGCTTCATAAAATGGTGTTACGACATGCTGATAAAGCAATATTAAAACGGGGAATATATCACAATAGATCTAAGTACTGGTCGCAGTGATCAAAATACCCAACACGAAAAAAAAACCTCAGAGCTTTCGGCTGGATTCAACTGAAGAAGAGCAAAGCAATTCAATACTTGAGAAAATTTTCAAGCAGTTTTCGATTGGCTTGCAAAATAAAATCGATTGACTCCGCAGCAGTTGTGGCACGAGCACTGGCCACTGGTGTTTAATATTTTTTTCCATGACATTTTAACTTTTCGCAATGACCGTAGTGTGTGAAGACACACAAAAACAAACTAGCAAGCGGCAAAAATGTCGTGACATTTATGAACTGTTTTTTGCCAGCGACTGAACATTTTAGCACACAGACATTTCAATAAAAATTAGATTTTTTTAACACGTCACTTTGTATGGAGTTTAGTCATTTAGTTAGTTTTGTTTAAAAATCGAGATGGAAGTAAATGGGATCGAATCGTGCTCAAAAAACGAAGCCCTTTCAGATAATGTATAGTATTAAGCGATATAGAGGAAATGGCTCCAATGTTGGCCTATGGATCTAAGATTGGGCTCATCGCTAAAAATCTGCTATTTATCAATTTATTCTAGACGGTACTAATGGATATTTTTGGTCGCTATTGAAAATTTAGTCGATTGCTGAATTTATGTATGGGCCCAAATTAGGGGCATTTAGACCGACATTACATTCGTTTCCCCTATTTTTTTTGTTCAAAATGAAAGAACCCAAATGATCAGCCCCGACTGACTTGAAAATAATAACCTAGCCACTAAAAATGATTTGCTACCAGCCCTGTCAGCTTTGAGTAAAATTTTGTAAACGCTATTCACATTAGGGCTGTCCATACATTACGTAGACACTTAAACAGGGAAATGGGGGTGTTAAGAGAAGTCCTCATATTATCGCATCAAAGTATCTGGTTCTGTTTGTCACTTGCACCCCTTTCCTTCTGACCCTCTGATTTCAAGATTAGGTTCTTGAAAAGTTTAGTTTTAGTGACTAAGAAAAATATTCAAGATGCTGGAATTTGACCAATTTCACTTTTAGTCAAAAATTCCGGACACTTTTTAAAGAGTATGACTAAAGCCAGATATGCTCTAAATACCACGAACCAGTGCTGCAAAATCTCGACAGTACACGGTGATATTGACAATTCTGCTTTGGTCACTCATTTGAGCTAACAGTCATAGTCAAGGCAAACCATGTCAATTGTCAATGACAATGGTATCAGTGACGAACATGTGTAGATTTGTTTATTAGCTAAATTTGTAACGAAATTAAATGACTTGAGCAAAACAATTACATGGATCCATTTTAATGAACAAGTATCTACGTCCTGAGCTACTTGGATAACAATAATGTGACACAGAATGTACTAAATTACACTTTTTGTTACCAGGTGAATCTTTGTCATTGACAAAAAAATGAATGAGATTTTGACGAAGGTTTTTTTGAGGATCAAGTGTGTCAGTGACTATGTGACGAACAATTTTGTCAATATCGCGCGAAAGTCTGTCAATGACAATGACAAATCTCAGCACTGCCACGAACATTTTATGATGATCCTATTGTATCATCCATGTTCATTATGTTGCATAGCGGATGTACAATTGAATTAAAAACTTAAATGCCGGGATTTAAAAACCGTACGACATTCGGTGCTCTACAGTATCGGAAATCAAAAAATCCGAAATACGTATAAAAACATGTGTTTCTATATCCTGATGAAAATTATTTCATTACTATTTGAACAAAACACTTTTTTCTCGAATCTCGCATAACCTGTAACAGTGTCTAATTCACTTGCAACAGTATTTTGCTAAACAAAATTATTCATCATCTCATCCTCATGATGACTCACGCCTTGTTTTTATACTACATACTTCCAAATCACCCCACTGAAGGAGCCGAGCCAATCGGGCAAACTACCTCGTTATCGGTCCGCAAACTGTTTGTCAAACCAAAACTTTCAACCTCTAGCTGGCAACCCTTCCCCATTTCCATTGATCATCGTCGGCAACGAAAATATGAAAGAGACGCGGAAAGGAAAGCAGCAATGTGTGAAAAAGAATAAGAATAGGCGCTTGGCGACTGCGCGCGCCTTTACGGTTGTAGTAGCATTCTTATTCGGTCTAGGCCAAACATTTTCTTCTCCTGCAGCAAATTCAAACAAACTTCTATCGAAAATCGTCCCATCCTCGCTGCTGATAACAACAGCCCACTAGTATCAGACGGTGACAGGGCGCACTCTATTCTTCAATGAACCAAAACGCAGATTTTACGGAGTTTCTAGTCGTCGTGAATTGCAAAAAAAAAGCGTAGCCCCATCGGGGGATTCACTGCCCGCCCATTGGTGTGAGCAAGACAGCACATCCCCTGAGCCCGGGAGAGTGGGCCGCGACGGAGGCTGTTGCTCGGGTGCAAGAGCGAGAGGTGCAGCGCGGGGAACACGGCACTACGAAAAAGATTTCGCCACGCGGTTATTTTGTCACTTCTTTTCCTTCACCGTACTTCCCAGCAGGAGAGTTACGACGGACGACGAATGGGAGTACCACCGAGATTAGATAGGCAATTTACCGCGCCGCCCACAGTCGGCGATCACTTTTCCCAATCGAACCGGATGGCCACGGCCCGGGGGCACCTTTTCCGCACATTTTTGGTCACTTTTGGCGCACTGAACACGGTGAAATTAGCGGATTTTACCTGACGACGTAGCCATAATGGTAAACTTCGTTCACTGAAACTGCAATGAAAGGGCGAGCTTTTTCTCTTTTCACTTCATCCAGCGATTGGGGTCGCTCGGCAGACGGAGGGAGATGGAAAGTTTTTTTTGTACCTAGCTGACAGCTCTGTCAAAAGTGACGGTTTTCGATGAGGTGGTAGCAGGGGTGGACACGACGTTCGGGTCGGGTAGCACGATGGGAACAGACGTTTGCAACAGTTCGATCCCATTTATCCGGGTTTTGCAGCACATGATCGCGCACGAATTGCATAAAAAATGCTTATTTATTTATAACCGTCGAAGCGAGCGTCGAAGTTCCAGTTGAAAATAAAATATTCGCAGATTATCCCAACAAACAATTTGTGCTGATTTCAGCCTGAATCGAGGGGCAAATCATTCAAGTATTTTCGATGCAGCTTTACGTATATTAAGAAGCGAAATGAATATACTTTTTAACGTCAAATTTAAACACGCATTTATCAGCGCATTGGCATACTTTACACATATTTGTGTGCATTGAGATGTTTTGAGTATATTTTTGATACACTGTCATGTATTTTGTAACGCATTGATTATTTTGCACACATTTTCATCATTACGCAGTAGCTAGTTTTTACTGATTTGTCCCTCGCGCTGAATAAGCGATTTCCCAACAAACATTGAATGTTGAATAAGAGCTTATTCAGGCAAAAACAAGCTTCTTCAGCTAAAAAATAGCTTAATCAGCTGTTCATCAACTCAAATTGTTTGTTGGGTTGTTAGCTGAAGAAGCATATTTTTGCCTGAAAAAATCTCTTATCCTGTTTGCACACAGCAAAAAAAGTTGTTGAATATTACATCGAAACTGCTGCAACCAGGTCAATCCCGAGGTCAATCCATCGGTTGTGTAATATCACATTGTACGATGTACATCGATTTTGCGAACAAAATTACATCCATTGATGTAATATTGTATCTGCTTTTGCTATTACATCATTATTTCATACATCAGCTTGAATTACGTTGATCGATATTACATTTTTTTTTGTTTGCTGTGCAATGTTTGATGGGCAATAGGCGGACATTTAGAAGTGGAATCGTGTATACGTCAAACGACATAACCCAAACATTAAATCGAATGTTCCCTACCAGCAAATCAGCCAGATTGTGGCGGCCATGAGCGCTCGTAAAATGCTGGATAGATTTTAAGGTGAAAAATTTAGATTTGTGCGAAACCGAACTTTTTGTCAGTGCAAACCTCAACCTGAGCCAGGGTTTAAAAATAAACGAGCAAACTGACGTTTGTGAGAAAACAAGCGGACCCAATCTTGATACCCGATCCAGGTTGGAACTGAATAATAAACTGTAGTATATATATGATAAGGTAGCATTTAATTAATTAAACATAAATTTACCGTTAACTAGTTTGATGTCGGCAAAATGCATTTGGCAGCACTAGAAGTCGACATTTATGAAATAACAAAATGACAGATACACGAAAGAGTGGTCGAAAATGATTTTGGAATACAAGAATGCGGTTCGTGTTATGAAAATCGAAGTACGTCAATTTTTTAGCAACAATCAATACGAAACTAACGATTTTAAATTGGCTCACCACTTTAGTAGCCTATTGGTCCCAAGCAAACGATTAACGTACCCTATTCTAGTTGAAATTCTATTACTACACTATGTTTGTTTTGATTCGCTATGAAAGTTTGACAGATAACATCAGGGGTGTGTGGATTCATGCAGAACATGCAGGGGTGAGTGAAATAGCTTGGGACTGCTTGGGACCGTTGTTCTGGTACTGAGTGAGCCAAAAATAATAATGATTTTCTTCGGGACCCAGTGGTCTTAGAGTTACCTCTATGGTTATAACATGTTATAGCGCTATCTTGATGGTGGTTTCTATGTTGCAATTATTTGACAACCGTTATAACATGTTATAACTCTCCAGTCTGGACAGCGTTTAAGGCCTTGATGTTCCCTGCTGTCCAAAGAAGTCGTCTCGACCTAAGGTCTTTAGGTCTCCACTAAAGAGGCTGAGTATATTCACGGTGAATGAGAACTACCCAAATTTGAGTTTAGTTCACTCATAATCGCCAAAAGTGCAGGAACTCAGCGATGAGTAAATTTGCCTCGTGTTTTCCCAAGTTTTTCCAGGGAAAAATTCCCGAATTTGAGAAAAGTAAAGATTGGATTCACTCAGTCTATTGGTTCTACTCCGAGACTGAATAAAATTTTCGTCAATTTCCTCATTTTCCGGTAGATTTTTTAGGTTTTCCACAGGAAACCATGAGACAAATTTTACTCATCGCTGAGCTCCTGCACTCTTGGCGATTATGAGTGAACTAAACTCAAATTTGGGTCGTTCTCATTCGCCGTGTTCCAATCGAGCAGAAGATCTGTCAAATGGATATGGAAAATCTAGAGTCGGTGTATAATGAGTCACGCCAAGAGAAAAACAGTTGAACTCGCAACACGGTTTTCGAAAGATTCCCTTTCTTTTAACTTGGCAACAGAGGACTTCTGCATCAACTTTAAATGACTTCTAGCGAGGAAAAAAAATAACGGCTGTAGTATATCATTATATCAGTGATTTTGTGGAATTATCTTAAGGAAAAATAGTAGAAATTGTCATTACTGATCATTACAAAACGTATCGCATGACAAATGTAATGCTCACTGCGTGTATATGATCATTTCTTCTGTTATATTTAATATTTAATTGCAATACCTTTCGTGGACCTTTCATAGCATCGTAATGCTTGTTTACTTTGCACGATAGGTAGCCGGTTTGACAGTTCAATAGGTAGACTTGGCTTCACTCTTGGCGTGACTCATTATACACCGACTCTAGGAAAATCAAAGTTGGCACTCGTGGAGAATAGAAGAACCACAGACAAACAGACATAACACTCGGAAGTTATTCATCGAACAAGCATTTAACGGTCAATTTAAAAGTATTGTTGTTGGTGTTATCGCCACCTGTGGCGCGCATAGTCAATTCCCTTGCGTTTGACGTTTACACGCTACCGCCATCTGTTACGCCGTACTGCCCACCACAGTGTGCTCAACAGATGGCGGTAATGTTTTAGAGACGATGTTTTACAGTGAGAAATATCGACTGTGTTATGTCTGTGGAAGAACTATGAGTGTGATGATGTTCAAAATTTTACACGGTTAAGTAAACGAGTGCTATCTTAAAATGCTTTTATTTTGCAAATGGAGCATTTTATTTAAATCTGGTTAATGCTACGTTAGTCGAGACGTTAGTAGAAAACTTAAGGACAACTCAAAGGACATTTAATATAGAAAAAGAATTTCTTTTCAGATTTTTAGGTGTACATAGATTTCAGCTTTTCTACCACTGTAGCAGATGTGATGAAACCATCATCACGTTCATAGTTCTTCTATTCTCCACGGGTGCCAACTTTGATTTTTCAATAAGATATCGCCTCTTCACCCATTTCATTTTCTTCAGTCTCCACTCTAGGCAGCATGTCCCGGGCTCAAATCATTTATTTTGTTGTGCTAGGCCCACCGTCACTGCTTAACATGTTGCCTACGCGCCTGCCACTGGCTGTTTTACAGCACTGGCCACACGTCGCCATCCTCGTAGTCTGCGAAGAACCTGCAAGTTGCTTTCTACTTGGTCAATCCACCTTTGCCGCTGCGCGCCTCATCTTCTTTTTCCTGTTGGGTCGCTTTCGAGAACCATTTTCGCTGGGTCGTTGTCCGGAATTCTTACGACGTGCTCAGCCCACCGTAGTCACCCAATTTTTGCAATGTGTGCGATGGATGGTTCTCCCAGCAGCTGGTGCAATTCGTGGTTCATTTGCCTCATCCACGTTTCGTCACTCCGCCGTAGATGGTACGCAACACCTTTCGTTCGAAAACACCAAGGGCGCGTTGGTACTTCACGAGCATAGTCCAGGTCTCGTGCCCGTAGAGGACCACCGGTCTAATCAGCGTCTTGTAGATAACAAGCTTCGTGCGGCGGCGAATTTTATTCCAAAGTAGTCACGATTCCCTGCCATAATGCGTCTTTGAATTTATCTGTTGGTATTATTTTAGGTGGTCACCAGTGAGCCCAAACTAATCTCGTCGACCACCTCGGTTTCGTCACCGTCAATCTGAACTCGGAGTGGGAGGCTAGAACCTCTTCCTTTCATGCATTTTGTCTTTGATGCGTTGATGGCAAGTCCAATCAGCCTACTGTCTTACCTGACTTATAACGAATATACGTTGTATACGAGTACCCCGAATACAACGTACGACTCGTCTAATTTTGCATAGCATTTGCAATGTAAAACTAGACGAACTATACGTTGTATTCGGAGTACGCGTATACAACGTATATTCGTTATAAGTCAGGTAACACAGTAGCTTCAGCCTTCAGTCTGATGTACGTTTCCACTATCGTCTCAAAGTTCCGTGCCATGATGTCGATGTCATCGGCGAAGCCAAGAAGCTGGATGGACTTCCTAGCTCTTCTGATCGCACCTTCTAACGCGCGATGTTAAATGAAAGTCCATCACCTTGCCGTTGCCCCTTCGAGATTCAAAGGGACTCGAAAGTGTCCGCGATACTCGAACAACGCACATCACTCGATCCATCGTCGTATTGACCAATAGCGTCAGTTTATCCGGAAATCCGTACTTGGGCATAATCTGCCAAAGCTGATCTCGATTGATTGTGTCGTCTGCGGATTTGAAATCGATGAACAAATATTGTTTGTGAATGTTCTTGATGATGTGAATTTTCTTGCAGCTGGGTTAATTGACGAAAGCGATAGTCAATGGAGAAAATCGATCAAATCAGACAGAAACTTATGAAATGTTTAGCTAGAATTATGCAAAACGTCCATATTTGATGTTAATCAAATGGAAGTGTTCTATAATTGTGGTGGTACTGTACAAAGTTTACTGAACTGCTACAAAATTCGCTGAACGATTACGAAGCTTTAACTGAAGTTCAACGAAGTTTGCTAAGCTTGTAAAAAGTTAGCTGAACTTATATTAAATTCTATAAGACACTCAGCGCTGAGTACCTGCAGTTTTCAGAAATTTCTCATACAACTGAGTAGAAGTGAAGTGACTCTCTCATTCTAAGTTATTCTCAGTGTCCGTGTGCACTTCTAAAAAGTTTCCTGAACTTCTAGGTCGATCTCAGAACTTATATAAAGTTCCCCAAAGTTCTACAAAGCTTCCTGAAGATCTCCGAACGACTGCAATGTTCCCTGAAACCAAACGATGTTCCCTTAAGGTGATTCCTTGTAGAGTCCACAAATGGCCGCCACGTAGGCTATGCATGCACTTCCACTTCGAATTTTCAATTACACAAATCAAGGAAATTAATGCCCCATTTAACCTGAAATTGCTACTTCATGTATGCTGCACTACAGCAAACGTAAAGTAACAGTTTCATTGTGTTACTTGTCGGGGAAGCTGATATTTGTGCACAGTTTCGAAGTGGTTACGAAAAAAAAGGAACTCACCGCGAAACACCTTAACCTTAACCAAATGATGTTAAAAATTTGAAGAATAGCGTTGCCACGTTTTTGTCCAATATCCATAAACGGAAGTGTGATCTTAAATAAATGACTGACCGGTTCTTGTCTCTAGAGCATAGTTTATTGATCATAATTACTTGTATGTATTAATCTAGCACATTAAGACTAATCGTTCAATAATTTGTTGATTCCAGATTCGGAAAGATCATATTCAATCAAAAAAAAATCACGACGCACCTCGAGAAACGAAGAAACTTACCTGACGATCCAAAATGTCGGCTCGTCCGCACTTCCTATAATACGAACATTAAACATACGATCCAATGATAGCAAAGCATAAAAAGTAGAGTGAATGCTGCAGCGGAGAAAAAACCACCTCACACCTAAGAATTTCGAATTCCCAGCGCCTGCTCCAGCTCGGCTCGCTTCTGGTTGACCTTGGTGAAGAAGTATCTGGAAACGGCCTCCTGAGTCCACGGTTGGTAGTAGAACTCCGCCCGGCGTTCCTCTTCCGGATTCCCAACGATATCGGTCATCGTCTTGAGATCGCGCGTCTGCGAAACGATCCACTTGTGGATGAACGTCTGCGGATCCTTGGCAAAGCTCAGGAAGAACTCCCGGTTCGTCTTGAGCTGATTGATGGTCTCGACCGTGTCGTGGATCTTGCTGTCCAGAGTTTGAATTTCCTGCTGTGATGCAGTGCTCAGCAGGAAGTTGTTCATCTGGTTCTTCAAGGTGTCGTCCACCTCGACGTCAATATCGTAGCAAGCAGTTTGCTTGTTCTCTAATCCACCTTCCACGGTGATGACGTGGTTGATAACGATCGGGTCTGGTGGATGTAGCAGCGGGTTCAGACGCTGCGGAATCTCCGCAAACTTCATCCGCTGACAGCCGAAGATCTGCTCCAGATACTTATCGCAAGTAATATATTCGCGTTCGTGGGCGTCCTGAAGCTTGTGCGTCTTGATGTACTGCCACAAGGCGGAAATGATAACCGGTCGTGTCTGGGTGTGCACTCCCAGCAGACGAGCCAAGCGGGGATCCAACTTAAACTGCAACGGCTGATAGTCCAGCAGCAGCAAAATAGTACAACGGACGTTACGATCCCCAGGGCGTTTTACCTGGAATCCGTCCGTTTCCTGAGTGGAATGTGTGCGGTGCCACTCGACCAGATGATTATCCGGTCCATAAAGCTCCTTGTCCAACTCGATTACCAGCGATTTAAAGAAGCTCGAGAACTTACGCTTGATCTTGTTCGGATCCGATTTGTTGTCCTCCAGAAGTCGTCCTTCGACTCGCAATTCCCACGATGCAACCGAACTCTCGGAGCCAGGGTCGGCTCCCTCGTTCTCCTTGCTCGGATAGAACGTATTGGAAATGAAGATCCGCAGCTTTCGCTTCTGCTTCATCGGACGCTTCAGCGCTTCCTGAATGTCCAACCGCTTGCGCATGATCGTAGCGTCCAACTTACGCTCAAATGCCAACAGGTCCATATAGGCTTGCGACTCCGGCACCAAATCACGCACCTTCTGCGGCAGGATCTTGTCTGCCAGTTTTTTCTTCTTCTTGGTTGGATAATCGCTACGAAAGAGAAAACTTGAATCCTCACCCATTTGTACGATAAAAGAGGTCACTAAACTACTTACCTCTTCGGTGGCGGCTGGCTCATCGAGCTTCGATTGTCCGCCGGACGTTTGTTGCTCCCGGGTGTTCCACTCGGCATCGGTGAGCCACGCATGCTTCCCGCCTGAAAGCCCGGTTGCATCGGGCGCGGGTGCATGGCCGGTTGATTCGGGGGCGGAGGTCCACCAGGCATCTGCGGCGGAGGAGTATAGCCCCGGGGCTGCAAAATTTCCTTTATGATCACCGCTATCGAAAACTGAAATTTAAACCATAACTTACCGGAAAGTTATTCGCTGGACCGTACGGGCGCATTCCCGGTGGTGGCTGATTCGGTTGTCCGGCCGGAGACGGTGGATAGCGCTGCGGACCAGGAGCCCCCGGAGCGCCACCGGGCCCGGCTGGTGGGAAACGTTGGGACATTCTCGTGCGCTGCTAGCAGTGGAAGTACTTTCTATCCGGTCAACACTTTAAGCTACAGAATAGAAATTTTCTGCGGTAAGACACTTTTTCAATGGGAAATTACACAAATTTCACGGAATTTGCGAGAAAACCAAGCCGCGACGTCAAGTTTTTCTCCGTCCCTGATGCGTTTGCAACAAATTTTGACAGCTCTCGGCATTTTGTTTTCCACGCACGCACACTATCGAATAACGTTACGCTGCAGGCGTTACGGAGATGGATTTTGATACTGGGAGAACGCTCCCAGAAGTGCTGCCAATTATGTTTTCAAATATGATTTGTCTGAATATCTATTTTATTTCCATCATTAATTTTAATGTGATGCATTTGTTTTTACAGTTTAATTTATTTAGCCTTAACCTTCCTACACCGAGGTGAATTTCCATATACCTTTTATGTGTGAAACCACATAGTTTTTTGCAATTCGACTTCACAACAGGGGGTAAGTCACTCTGCCACCTTCTGTTAAACACATCAAAAACACTCTTCGACACACTGAAACACCCTTCAACCAACAATCAATACGAAACTAACGATTTTAAATTGGCTCACCACTTTAGTAGCCTATTGGTCCCAAGCAAACGATTAACGTATCCTATTCTAGTCGAAATTCTAGTACTACGCAATGTTTGTTTTGATTCGCTATGAAAGTTTGACAGATAAAATGAGGGGTTATTGGTTTTTCCTATGTTTCGAGGGGTGATTCGACAAGCTTGGGACCGAAGATAGTACCGAGGTGAGCCAAAAAGTTGAGCACGTTTCTTCGGGACCTACTTGTCTTAGAGTTATCTCTATGCTTCAACCACCATGAGAACTAATTTTTCAATCTTTTCTGGCAGCACTGCCTAGAGCCAAGAATGTTTACATTCGTTTGAGGCCCTTTTTTGTTTTTGTTGATTTTTTTCTGAAGGAGACATCTCCCTCCAGCAATCGGTAGGATTCCACCGAGGATTCGACAGTGAGCATGCATAAGGGCCTATACGCGATGATCGATTCGTCGATTTTCTCTTTTGGTAATAACTCGCTAGATTTAACGTTTCTCGGTGCGTTTGCTGTTGCTTTTGATAGCCAATACAACCTGTTACTACTCTGCATTGAACAAATTCTAGAAAATTGTTTCGCTTAGCTGTAGCAATGCAAAGAGAAAATCGATGAAGAGAATCGATCATCGCGTATTCGCCCTTATGCATGCTCACTGTCGAATTGATCGGGATATGGAAGTAACACTCACTCCCGCAATTGGGACATTTAAAAAACAGACAATTTACAGCGAATTCGTTTATCATTCAGTTCCAACCTGGATCGGGTATCAAGATTGGGTCTGCCTGTTTTCTGACAAACGTCAGTTTGTTCGTTTGTTTTTAAAACCTAGCTAAGGTTGAGGTTCGCACTGACAAAAAGTTCGGTTTCGCACTGGGTTGGAACTGGTTCCAACCCCGATAATAAACGAATTCGCTATTAGCCTCTTAGGACCAGCTAGAATATCTGCAACAGTCAACTGATTTTCGCTCAACGTTTTGACAGGTAGGCCGACATGCAGAAACACGCAGAAACACTTTCCGACACCAAAAAGCTCACATGAAACACAATCAACACAGGCACAAGGTGGCAGAGTGACTTACCCCCTGATTACATATTTAGCTAAATGCATTTAAGGCCTTCGAAAGACGCATACAGTTAACCACTGTACTTTTTTTAAGCTAGTACCTAATAGCGTCGAAATCACCGATAGGATCCTCGCTCAATTCTCATTTGTTTCCATTAATTCGATGACAATCACATATTTTCGTTTTACAAATCATGTGTTTAAACATTTGGTTGGTTGTTCTACTCAAAGACGCACGAGACTACAAAAAACTACCTATCGACCCATCAACTCATCAACCGGGGACCAACGGCTTTACTTCCCATCCGAAGGAAGGCGTGATCAGAGATGTTATGCCTCAGAACATCCCGGCGGCGCCGACTGGGATTGAACCCAGGCCTGCTGGGGTGAGAGGTAATCACGCTTACCACTACACCACCGGCGCCGTTTACAAGCTTGTGTTAGTTTTTTTTTTTGTTTTAATTTGAACAAAGTTGATTTTGTGTACAATGATTCTTTGACAGTGTGCAAAGAGTGTATCATTGTGTAATTTTTTTAAGCATTTCAGTTTTGAGTAGCATGAAATGAGATAGAACCAAAACATAGTAGTGGTGTTGCCATGTGGAACACTAAAAATTGCAATAGCAGGTTAGTCATCAAAGTTTTCGAGCCGCTCCGTATGTTACTTCGTTTGTGATCTAGTTTGTGATACTACCGCCATCTGGTGAAAACACTGTCATGGGCAGAACGCTCAACAGATGATGATAGTGTGTAAACCTAGGGGCAGATCACTTGAGGTGCATTTATTATAACAAAAAAATTAAATGAATTTTCTCAGTGCATTTTTGGCTGCGTGTAATTGTAAGTGACACCTCCCACTAATACATGCATGTATACATGAAAAGTTTTGTCCTGTTTTGTTGTTCGCTTCGGTTCGCTCAAATCCACACTCTTGACTTGAGAAAATTATTCCGCAGAAAAAATCCGTTGAAATTTCCGGTGGCAGCATTAAAAATCTCCACCGGAATAGTGCAGAGCCGCCTCCACCGAAAACGGGAGAAAACTCCGTCGAAGCTCACTGGAACCTCCTTTGGTAGCACCGAAAATCTCCACCGAAATCTCTCGGAACCCTCTTCGCCGTGAATATCTGAAAACTCCGTCGAAACTCCCCTGGAAAATTCAGATGCTGCCAACGGAGGTTCCCAGAGACTTTCGACGAAGTTTCCACGCATTGTCGGCGAAAGAGGATCTGCACGATACCAGTGAAGAGATTGGATGCTCCAGACGGAAGTTCCAGGCATTTCCCCCCCTTTATCGATGGACGAAGTTCCACGTGATTTCGGTGATTTTGGATGCTGCCAGCGGGATTTCCTAGAAGTTTCAACATATTTTTTTGCCTTCTCAGCGAATTAAATTTTGTATGATTTCTAAGACGATTCTAGCAGCTGCCAACGAAGGTTCTAGGAACTTTGTCTTGTTCTGATAATGGGATCATCCACCAGAATTACGTTTGACTTGATTTGACTAAATAAAATACATTCAAAGTGTTTTTATGTTACTTCATACGCGAAGTTAACGATTTTCAGAGTTGGTTGGAAATGCTAACATGAAGCTTTAGTGTGATGATTTATTAGCTAGAGAATGATTTTTAGAAGAGGGTAGGTGGATAGTTCCGTTAGAGTACGGCAGTATGAAAATTGAATAGAAGTTGAAAATGAGCGAAGGGCCATTAATGCGACAGTTTTAAGATCGACGCACATTTTTGCCTAACCCGTACGATGTACGCGGGGACTTGAAGTATGTCTCCAAGTCCACAGGCAAAAATGTGCGTCCCTCTTTTTGCTCATAAACTGACTGCGGTTGTGGAATAGTTCTAGCGACTGGAAATGTTCTCGCAACGTGGGGCTTTAGGTAGTGACGAAAACGTCGCTAGAACTATTCCACAGCCGCAGTCAGTTTATGAGCAAAAAGAGGGACGCACATTTTTGCCTGTGGACTGTAACAAGAAAAGATTTTAAAGCTTGTGTTTGACACACAAAACCTGCAAATTTAGCTTTGACAGATCCACAATAAGCGATTTTCTGATCGCCTCTTCGCGATGAGTGAAGAGCGAAGAGTGGGTGAAATAAATGACAAAATTGCTTATTGCGACTCTCATGCAGCAACATTGGCTGATATTATGTGTCAAACATAAACTCCACAATATTTTCTTGTTGCTTACACAAACAAAATATTATTATAATATCTTATTATTCCATAATTTCATAAAACATTTTTTTAGTCTGAATTTTTTTAGAATGAATGGAAGGCACCCTGCTCCCCTAGGTGTAAACGTAAAATTCAAGGGAATGGACGAGTGCACCGATGAATTTTAGTTCATGCACTGATGAAAAAATTACAGGAGAGTGGGGCAATATTTACTAATCATGAACACTTAATGTTAATTGTGCATTATTCATGAACATTTAGTGTTAATTTTTAGTAAACATTGCCCCACTCTCCTGTATAATTTTCATCAGTGCATGCCATTGAAACGCTGTATAGACTGGAGAGTTATAACACAGACAAACAGACGTAACTCTTTGAAAAAGTTTTTCTTGAAAACATAGTATCTCAAAACATATGACCTCAGTAACGACATCTCTCGGGCTTCTCGCGGAAAACAAGCTTGCTCGCTAGCTCGCAAACAATATTGCATAAAAGTTCTATAGAATGTATAGAAACGTCAAAGTGATCCGATGCCAGCGCTGCGGCGAGTAGTTCGCGGAACTGATAATATTCAAATCAATCGTTAAATCCATGAACGAAGATACACAATGAAGAGTTACGTCTGTTTGTCTGTGGTTATAACATGTTATAACGGTTGTCAAATAATTGGAATACAGAAACCACCATCAAGATATCGCTATAACATGTTATAACTCTGTAGTCTGAACGTACTATTAAATCCATTCTTGAATTATCAATGCACTATGTCAACTATGCACGTCACAGCCCTAATAAAACTGTTAAGGTCGGCGCACAATGGATACGTTTTCAGGTTTTTTGACAGTTAGCCCCTGCATTATCTGTCAAAAAGCCCAAAACGTATGAATTGTGCGCCGGCCCTTAGAATTTGAAACGTATGTAAAATTAGCACTAGTGGATGTCTTCAGGCTGTAAAACTTCATACCAAATAATTTTTAGAGCACAAAAACTCATATCGATAACACCACAAAAATTATATGTAAATGTAATCCTCCATGTAAACAAGCTCCTCGACAAGCTCCCTGAACTAAATTAGAATATGCTATAAGATGAAGCAGTCAGTCTTTTTTTATCATGTTCCTGATATGTAGAAAATAATCTGGCCACCCTGCTTTTAAATAATATCTCAATAGTAACGAAAGTAACGCTCCTTCTGATTTTAGTACAACTTTTGTTATTAAAATAATAAAAAAAACAGCGCGCGAAATGTTCGATTTATTCTCGTTCGTTGTTGTTCGCATATCCACTAATTATTTTGCAAAGTTTTCTCAAATTTCAACCGGAAAAAAATGTCCAAACGAAGTTTACCTATTTGGATGCGTGACGCGGAACTGTCCCCGGCACCGGTAGTTAAAAAGCGTGTTCTCTCCGAAAGCAAGTTGAACGAAATTGCCGTAGAAAAATCAATCCCGGAGAATACGAACGTGAAGCCGCTTCCCGCCGAGGACGATACACCTCGACGAAGACTTCGAAGCAATCACAAGATTCCGGACGACATTCCGAAGCGGGAACCGGCCGTTCAGTTGAACATTGAAGATGTTCCATTTATCGACTACAAGGGAGAAATTCAATACTACACAGACATGCGGGACATGGCCTTTGCGTGCGATCAGTTGGTACAGTGGGTGGAAAGGCAACCGGACGAGCAAACCCAGGTGCCGATCGCGTTCGATTTGGAGTGGCCATTCAATTTTCAGACCGGCCCCGGGAGAACGGCCCTGATGCAACTTTGTGCCGAGACGAACGTTTGCTATCTGTTCCAGATGTCCTGCCTGAAGAAGCTGCCGGCAGCGGTACTGCAGCTGTTGACCCATCCGCGGGTGCAGTTGCACGGGGTTAATGTGAAGAATGACTTCCGGAAGTTGGCACGGGATTTCCCGGAGGCGAATGCCGAACTGATGATCGAAAGGTGCGTGGATCTGGGCGGGTGGTACAATCGCATTCACGGGTCAAGTGGGGTGTGGAGTATGGAGCGTTTGGTGCTGCAGGTTTGCCGACTGCGGGTGGACAAGAACAAGAAGGTTCGGATGAGCAAGTGGCATGTGTTGCCGCTGAGCGAGGACCAGAAGATGTACGCTGCGGTGGATGCTTATGTGAGTAGATGTTGGTGGTCACCCTAGTCGTGAGTTGTGCTAAAAATGTGTGGGTTTTATCGTAAACAAATCACTCACGGGGCACTCACTTGGGTGAAGTTTGTTATCAATTTCAATTTCATAACAAGAAAACCTCAAATTCTTGTGTTGCAGATCGGTCAGGAAATCTACCTCAAGCTGAAGGAAAAGGAGCTTAAATTGAAGCTGGAACAACAGGAGCTGAATCTTGCTTTGAATCCGCCTTCGGCGGAATAGAACCTATTGCCTTCAAACTTGACAACGCATTCAAAATAGCATTTAGTTCCTTAGTAGTTAAGTCCACAGTCCACATCACTGCCGGGTCATGTCGCGCGTAGTGCACGTTCTACGAGCCGGTAAGCTGGGCTATCAAAAATCGCTGAATCTCCAAAAAGCCGTGTCCTCAACCATTCTAAACGACCAAACCGGTCCGCTGCATAATGTACTCATCCTGACCGAGCACGACCCTGTCTATACCGTCGGAATCCGGACGAAAGCCTACGGACCGGAAGAGGAACATCGACTCAAGGCGCTGGGAGCCGAATTCTTTCGTACCAACCGCGGAGGTCTTATTACGTTCCATGGTCCGGGGCAGCTGGTGGCCTATCCGGTGTTGAATCTGAAGAACTTTCAACCCAGCATTCGGTGGTACGTTTGCCACATTGAGAAGACAATGATCGAGATGTGCCGGAGGTATGGCATACAGGCCGGTACAACTCAGGATACGGGAGTTTGGGTGGGGGACAGGAAGATTTGTGCCATCGGAATACACGCCAGCAGGTACGTTACAACCCATGGGTTGGCTTTGAATTGCAATAACGATCTGGGGTGGTTTGAGCATATCGTTCCCTGTGGGATCGAAGGCAAGGGGGTAACTTCACTTAGTGGGGAATTGAATCGAGAGATGGGGGTAGCGGATGTGACGCCAACATTTTTAGACAGTTTTCGGGACATTCTAGAGTGTGATTTGGTAGAGTTAGAACCGGAGAAGCAACGCGAAATTTTAGGGCAACTCGAGTAGGGATGTTCTTTCGTTCAGACTAAAAGTCAAACAGGAGACAGGTCACAGCCGAACAAAGCCAATCGTTATGTTTTATATTGCGAATAAAGCTAGCTACATATTTTTCAGCTACTTAAAACTGTCGGATGCGTTTAACATTTGAGAAATTCCCTTGATTCTTAAAAACGTGCCTTATCTAACACCGCCAGACGTCCTCAACCGAGTGGAAAAAGTGCTCGTCACAAAACAGTCGAATGATTTTGCAAACATTTTCACCAATGTTGGCAACCATCACCGTATGTTCGATCAGATTGATCGCTGCCTTCGTTTTGATGTGCATTTCACTGTATCGCTTGTTGGCCAATGTCTGCTTCAGATCCCCCATGGCCTGGGCATATTCCTTGCAGCAATTGGTGCTATCGATCGACGGAGGGCCACTTTCCGTCGCTTCCAGTGCCTCTCCGGAATCTTCGCCGAAGAGCAGAAACACGATGCACGAAAGACATTTGGCAATCACCTTCCGGCGAATGCTGATACCATCCTTCCGGATGCCTATGGCACCGAGCAGGCCTTCGCCCCAGCCCTCGGATTCCTTGGAACAGGTCTGCAGATAGCGGGCCAGTGTTAGCAGGTGATTTTGACTGCTTGATGAGGTTTTCATGATTTCGACGCCGACCACCACCATCAGGCTCCACAGCAGGATCAGCTTGGATTCGATTTGCTCGCTAGGAATGGGAGAGATTGGCGAAGAGGCATTATTAGCAGGTTATGATCGACTTGAAAATATAGAAATTCGCCGATCTGAGACTCAAAAAATGGTTTACAAGAACGCAGCACGGCTGCTTCAACAGGTTCCCGATGTCTTCGTTCTTCAGCAATGGGTAATTTAAAGGTAATGGACCATATACCATTCAAGTAGTTTAACGTTTACGTTTTAGATTAAATCGTGATTTGTTGGTCCAGTTTTGTGAAATCGCTGGTAGAAGGTCACGCCAAAATTGCTTGACAAAGTTATTTATTGAGTCTCTCGTCACTCCAAAGAGAACGAAGCTAGCGAAATACTAACCTCACTTTCAGCTCCTCCAGCAACCTGAACAGCTTCTGCAGAACCAAAATCCGCTCGCCACTACCGGACGCCTCCTGCAACCGCTGCACCGTCAACAAATGCAAAGCCAGCAGGTACCGATTCTTCGCCAGCATTTCCTCGTCAAAACCCTTCACCGTTCGCAATCCGATCTTGTGCAACGCCTTCGTCCAGGATGCATCCAGCATCGGGTCACCTCCATCCAATACCTGCCCGTTCCAAGATTTGCCAAAATAGTGAAACAGCATTTCCTCCAGCAGCAGGTACAGATTGCAGGTGAAGCTCTTGCACATCCCGGCGGCATCCAATACGGATGGAACGATGTAGCTGTCGCTGGTGCGACAATTCTCCGTCCACAGCACAATTGCTTCGATGAACAGCCTGAAAATGGCGTGACTATCAAATCCAATCCGATTAACCAACCACCCAAATCATCAAACTTACTTGGAAGTGTATTCACCCTGCGACTGCAGCGAAACGATCATCTCTCCCATCAGGTTTTTCGCTTCAAATTCCCGATCCTTGACGGCTCTTATCTGCAACAGCACCGTCTCCACGATGTTGAATAACCCCAGCACAGCATTGTGGAAGGCTTGCACTCCTTGCTTCGTTCCCAGCAGCTTCTGATACTTGGCACCGCAAGCGTTCAGCAACCGCACCGTCGTGCGGACGTACAGAATTCGCTTGGCTTGAACCTGCGACTGCAGCGCCGTTGATTCCAGAGGATTACCCGGATTGAACTTCATCGAAGAAGCCACCTGCAGCAGATCCAGAACGGCGCTGTCCACGACCTCCCTTTCGGAAGGCATTTTGAGAACGACGGACGGTTCAGCCGAAAGGACGAACCAATCCAGTACTGCTTCTACTCCCTGATATTCCAGCATGTGCCATGGGTAATCGCAAGCTTCCTGTAGCAGAGTAACGATCCTGAGGCCCTCCCGGGCCTTTGGTTCGTAGGATATCTTGATAAAAATCATCAGCATAGCGGAGAGCATTTGGTAGCGCAGCTGATAGTCCCAGGATTTGATGTTCTGCTGCAGCCAGGGAGTCCATGCGATGCGGATGAAGATGTGTCCGACAAACATGTGTGCTTCGGGGATGAACTGCTGCAGGATGCGGCTGAATCCGGTGATGTGAACCGGAGCCGGCCGGAAGCGATCCCACGCCAGATTCATGAGGTTCGTGTGAATGGGAATGGCTACATACCGCGGCAGAGCCGGATGGGCAAAATTCAGTTCATACCAGTAGAATAGGTGGCCCAGGAGGGCACTACTGGCAGGGAATGTGTCCAACTGAAACTGAAGACAGTGTTCGAACACCTTGACCATGCGGAACGCCGTATCGGCGTGCAGTTCGCTCCACGGAGGAAGCATCGAGCTATCGCTGGCGACCTGCTGGATCCAGTTAGCTACCTGTTGTTGACCTTTCATGTTCTGCGGGAAGTACGGTGTTAGCCAAGGGGAGAACATATCACACAGGGATGGCCACAGCCAGGTGATCACTGGGAGAAAAAAAGAGGAGATTGACGAAATGTTCTGGTTAAGGGCGTCATAAGCACTTACGTTCATCAGCTAGTACTCCCGGATAGGTGTGAACTGCTGCAACGACTGCCGCATGTCCCACCGAACCTAGCAATAGGGACAACACCTCGCAGTAATCGCTGTGCATCGGGTAGAGTCCGTGCAGGCCGTGATTCAGTCGTTCCTGTTGAAAGTGCTGCGTCAGCAGTACCGTCGTATCGATTAAATCTTTGTAGGACAGGATGCTCTGTTTGGTGGCAAAGCTGCGGAAGTCTTCCTTGATTGCCACAAGTCCCATTCCGAATGCCATCGGTTGACATCCGACCCGTCGTCGCATTGAATTAATTAGATCCAGCAGAACCTGTGGCATGATCTTCTTGCGCGAACAGGCTGCCAAGCTCATTTGCAGAATGTCTCCGTAGTATTCCGGAAAGTCGTACTCGAACAGATGCATCAGATGCCGTTGGAGAAGCTGTTGAATGCCGGTTAGACTTGCTTGAACTAGATTGGAGGAAGTGGTCTGGGGAGGTCTACTCACGTCCTGAATTAGCACTGCATTATTCTGATTCCAACCTTCTAATCCCCGGAGGATCAACTCCACCAGACGATTGATGTCCACCAGCTTGGGTCTGTGGCGATTCATCCAGCTAACGATGTCGAACTTGGACAGCATCACGAACAGAACCTGCGTGTCATGGTGTTTGATGTGCGAATCGATCACAAACTCATACATCCGCAGGAAGTACTGCGACGGACAGCTAGCCGGAACGAGCAGTTCGGAAATCAGGTTAATCATATCCGGCCGTTTCAAAGCGATACTCAGCAGCTTGATACCTTCCACGTTTTGGTTCTCCTGCATGAAAAACTACACAGAATAAAAAAATCCATTAACATTGAAATCCACCCGAAAGGCGAGGACTTACCCCAAGCTGGCTGATCCCCATCGAGCAGACCTCCTTCGTCAGCGGACACAGTTGATTGTAGTCATTCATCTTATTCACGAATTCGTAGAACAACGTCGAACCCACCTTGTTCAGCTTCCCACAAATGTTCACCTCTCCACTCAGCTTCCACTCCCGGTAACCATCGACGATCTGCCGCAGGAAGGCGTCGATCCGTACGGAAGCCATCACGACCCGATCCGGTAGTTTGCTTTCCCGCTGAAGCAGAGCATCGTGAACTGATCGGTTCTCCGCAAGCAGAGCACTCAGGTTCTTGTCCAGCTTGGACACCTTGTATCGAACTTGGACCTTTATGGATTCGCTGCAACCGCTCGAGCAGGTGACGTCCTTGTACAGGACCTTGTCTTCGGTGATGTAGAGCTTCGGAACCTGTTCCAGGTAGCACGAGTCGAGCAGCATGTGTTCATTGTACATGACGTGAAATTCCTTGCGGGCATACGAGTCCAGGAGGGAGAAGTCGGATTTGAGCGCGGAAATCAATGAGCTGGACGATTGTGAGGTGAAATTGGCCGGGGATATGTGGGGAGTTGATTTGACCAAGGGTGGAGGAGATGCCGGGGCGTCGTAAGCTTCGAGACGTTTGAACATGGATTGCTTGACGTCCTGAAGATCGGTTATACTTTGGCTGGATGCGAGCGAACGGGCTGGAGAGTTTGTTACGACCGCGGAGACTACGGGTTTGTATCGGTAACAGAGCTTTTGCCAGCCATCTGCGAGTTCACGATGGTCTGAGCGAATGCCTCGAAAATCGATGAAGTCCGTCCAGTGGTCACGGTTGCCTCGGAAAATCGAAGCCAACCGGTGACAGTCGAACTGTGGGGGAAGGTCGATGGACTGGATTTGAATTCGATTTAGGTGAGTGTCTTCCAACCACAGCTGGAAGGTTTTGAACAACCGCGTGCAATGGTTGTAGAAGGAGCGTTGTCGTTCGTCCGTCTCGCTGACGGATGTTGAGTTGTAGTAACATTCCGCGTCATAGAGCTGCTTCTTGATACGCTTCATCAGGCCGAGGTTGTACTCGTAGAGACGATCGGCAACGCCGAAGCAATTGGCGAATCGTTCTTCGTCCTGGGCGAGCGGGATTCGTGAAAGGTATATGGTGAAGAACAGTTGGCAGACTATCGGATACATGAAGTTTTTGATGGTGCAGTTCGCTACCAGGTTGGCGAGTTTGAAGACAGTCAGTGATGCAGGTGGGAACGAGGGATAGCCTAGGATCGAGCAGGATTTTTTAATGGCCGTATCGAGCGAGAGCTGAGGAGAGCTAGGAAGTCCGATCGCTCGGAGGACTTCGTGCCAGATGCGGGTTTGGATTTCGGTGATTTCGTACTCTAATTCCAGGGTGAAGATCGATAGGAATACGGTCACAGGGGATGGGAAGTTGAACAGGTCGGATGGATTTGCAGCGAGCAGGTTGAGCAATCCTGAGGGTTTGGATGTCTTGATGTCTTCGAAGCGCTGAAAAGAAGCAAGGTGCTGTGTTTGAAAGGAGCCGTTGATGAACATTGCAACTTACGGAATAGTAAGGCCGGAAGAACTCCTTCATCGAATGCCACGCATCGGGAAACTGATAGGCGACTCCGATCATGGCGTCCAGCAGTCGCAATATTGATGGGTCTTTTGTCCAATTCGGTAACTCGGTTAGGCACTGCAACCAGATGTTGATCAGCAAAGTGGGTGAAGCTAGCCCGTACTGTACGTAGTTGGTGATTTGCGAGAGGATCATACATTTCAGCATCTCCGTTACGGGAGCGTTCGTCTCAGGTCGAAATTGGTCCTTGGTGAATCGTGCATAGTACTTGTTTGCCGCGATCAAGCTGATTAGGATCGATTTGAAAGCTTCACAACGACTCAGGCTGTCGGGGCATTCCAGGAATAGGGGGGTAATAAGTTGCAAACATCGAACGACTACCGTGTAGCGGTGATCGTTTAGCAGCAGTCGGATCTGTTCGAAACCTTTGTGACAGATCTGCGGTACCGAATGGCCCCATGTGCTGATGAGGATCGCTAGATAGACTGCCAATGGCCGATTTTCGGTAACGCCTTGGTAGATCTGCTGAGCTCGTTCCAATTCGAGAACGTGCCTCAGGATTAGGGCGGGGTTCTTGATCATACCGTTGACGATCTCGGAACTCTGGTCCATGCAGTGAAGTCGCAAAAGGCTGACCATGTTCCAACACCAGGCTAGAAATTGCTCTTGCGCTGCTTTGCCCTTCACCAGACTGCTCACCGAGGCGGCCAAGCCTTGTGAATTTCCTAGGATCTCTGGCACGTGTTTGCTGTAAACCTCGGTAACCAGGCACGCAATACGGACGTGGATGTCGTGGGGTAGGAACAGCTCGTTGTTTCTGAAAATATTCAATTTGGTACGGGTTGATCCAACGAATTGTCAACAGAGGTACTCACGTATCAAAATTGTAGTTCAGATGAATGAGGATTATTCTCGCCGTCGAACTCTGGATCGCGTCGAAGCCATAGTTTAGGATCCAGTTGGCGAGCAGCTCGAAATCTTCCCACTGCGGACGCCAGCGATCCAGCGGAAGAGCCTTGAAGATATACAACGCCGAGAGGTCCGCATGGGCGACGTCCTGCTTGAGCGATTGAAGAAGATTCGAAACCAACGATGGATACTTGAACACGATGTTGAACAGCAGATCTTTGACCGCTTTGTAGCAGAAGTCCTTGGTATATTCATTGAGGTAACCGATCTGGAAGTTGGAGTTTCGGTTGTGACTAAACGTCTCAGAAACTAGGAGTGTTGAGATACTTACGTCAAATAGATTCAGAGCAACCGTCTGAATGAAGTCGATGTCAGATATTTCCCTAGCGAGTGCCATGTTGGAGAACACCTGCAGCAGGTAGTACAGATCCTCCGAAGGCATCCCCAACAAACCGCTTCGAACCTTCTCTCGTTGATCTTCACCGACGCACAGCGCACGGAAGTCCTTATCTACGGCTGTGATCGAGTCTTCGTTGAATTCATCCAGATGCAAACAGTAGTACAGTTTCCACAGTGCATTCAAGCTCAGTTGATCGAAAGGGAACCCTGTCAAGTACTGCCAGGTGCCGATTTTCCGCGATCGGTAGATGTACTGTGCCGACCGCACTACAAACACATCCATCTCCAGGTGGATCCGCGTGCTTTCGTACGGATCAACCACCACATGGGCACTCCTCGTCCGTTCCAGCAGTATCCGATATAGGTCGCTCACATAGAATACAGTATGCTTGATCAGTCGAGCCAATCTCTTAGCGAACTGTCGATAGCGATCCGCATCGTAAGTAACCAGGCCATTACCCAACAATTCCACGAAAACTGTTCCGAATGCGATCGCCTTGAGCAGAAGAGACCCTCGGATCGCTTCCTCGTTTATCCGCAACGTGCCGTCAAGTTTCCGGTCTATTAGAGTGATCGCACGGAAAATCTCTCCAAAGGGAACCTGATCGATCAATGCCACCAGATCGCCCTCCTTCAGTTCGGAAATCGAATCCGATCCGGAACAATCTTCCCCATCGCTATCCACGATCGCCCACATTTCCTCCTGGACCACGTCGATCGAACGGTTCATATCTAGTTTGAGCTTTTCGAGAAACTCGTTCCGGTTCTTGATCGGCAACAGCAGACAGGCCATCACCACTAGGACGTGTTGGAATTCTGCACCGCCCCAGCTTAGGTCTCCCGTTACGGGAAGTTGGACCAGAGAGGTAGCCCAACTGGCTATCCCACTGGGGCTCCGTAGAACGTGGAACAGAACAAAGAGATGATCATGCACAGTAGCAATCCGTAGCTGGGTGGCGACCAGCTTGACGGTCCAGCAGCGGACGTCTTTTAGGAAGCGCTTGTCGGTTATGCCCTTCCGGAGGAAACTGAACAGGATCGATATGCAGAGGCGAAGTTCGCCTATGGCTGTGGCCAGTTGGGTGGGGTCGAAGGTCGGGTTCAGGATGACCGGAGCGTTCACCGGGAGATTAGTTAGAAGCGGATGAATGTTAAGGGTTTCGTAGACTTTCTGCTCGATTTTGATACGGGTGGCGTCGACTTCGTAGGTGCACTGGTTGCATTGGAAGCAGGACTGTTTCATGAGCTCCTTCAGGGTGGAGCTTAATTCGGACAGGGTGGATTCCTGAAGGTTGGCGACGCTGTTTTCGTCGGGGAGTGGAAAAATTGATTAAGTATGTTAGATTTTCAGTAGATTTTCTTCCTTTTTCAGATGTGACTTGACCAGATTTGTACTAACGTACACGGTCAATTAGAATGAGCCAAATTTGAGTTTAGTTTGCTCATAATTCAAATAAAGTGCAGGAACTCAGCGATGAGTAAATTTGCTCCATGTTTTCCCAAATATGAGAAAAGTAAAGATTGGATTCACTCAGTCTATTGGTACTATTCTTAGACTGAGTAAAATTTTCGTCAATTTTTTTTTTATTTTCCGGCAGATTTTTTAGGTTTTCTACTGAAAAACATGAGGCAAATTTACTCATCGCTGAGTTTCTGCACTTTTGGTGATTTTGAGTTAACTAAACTTAAATGTGGGTGCGATGCTAACGACATGATTGGTGTGAATCGGTTTTCCACTTACCTCCCCTGGTAGCTCGCCCGCAGCACCTTCCCATCACCGCAGGTATCCGTCCCGGTGAACGTTTGCTCCCGCATCGTCCACAGCTCATTCGCCAGCACTTTGCACTTGCGCCGCAACGCTTCGAACTCCAACACGTTCAAGCTCAAGTCGGCTCGAGCTTTCGCGTACCGCTGCAAAAGTTGATACAGTGGATGATTCATGCACTGGTCGTTCTCATCCAGTTCCCTCGTGAGAAATTCCCTCTCGAAAGCCTCCGCCAGGCCCATTTCGCCGTCGACCCGGTAGAGCTGAGCCAACTGTTGCCGCGTCAACGGTTTCATCGCTTCCACGGGAAACCGAATCACCTCCTCGGGAGCAGTTTCCTTAATCCTCATCTCCTGAAGGTTCGGATACAACGATCCCACTTCCATCGTTTCATGTTTCACCTCTAGACTCGAAACAACGACTTCCATCGCCGGTTCACTATCGTCCAGCATTGGTGGTGCTGACGGTGCCGTCGCTTCCAGCGATGGCACTACCTTTTCACTGTCGATCAAACTGTATTCTTCATCTTCCGGTTCGACATCTTTCATCTCGTCCACTTGCGCTGCGACTGGAGGAGCTTCCTCCGAGGTGGACGTACTGGGGAAATCGATGTCCACCACCGGTTCACCACTGTCTGCATCCTCTTCCTCAAGGTCATCGATCGGAACGTCAGGCAGAACCAGTGGTTTGAGTTTGGGTTTCCTCTGCTGGCAGTAAAACAAATATAATTTCATTACATCAACAACACAGCGGAACGAAAGGGGGAGGAAGCCTTTGTAATGCGCACTTTCGCGGAAGAAGTTAGTATTCTAAATCACGACGGGTACTTACCTTTGTTTTGGACTTCTCTAGCGTTGCCATAATTTGCGTCTACGTTTAGGCTAAGCAGGGTAATTGGTTTAGTGGGGTAACACGATATCAGTAGTTAGAGCTGCTTGTTTATTGGTGGATTTTGTCCGAAACGGCGTCGCTAATCCTTCATTTCAGATCGCCAAGTGTGAGTGAGCTTATCTCCGGACACTGTATGGCGATTGAATTTATGATGAATCAACAAACCACATACAGGGTAAACACAGGTCGTGAGGGATCCAATTACGACATTACTGAGCTCAATGCTTTGCAAGACACCATCACGTCACCACACAGATGCGCTTAAAACAAGCTTCACAATTTACTCTTTGTTGTGTAAAATAAACAACAAAACACGAATTGCAATTAAATCTTAACCAGCCACTTGAGAAAATCGGAATTAAGAAACGAGAGATTGAAAACTTCTTGCTATATTGATCAGTTCACGAAGATTTGCCGCACTCTTCTCTCACCCGTAAGCTTTGACAGTTTTGGGTGGTTTGTTTTGGCTCCCATTCGTTGCTATCTCTTTTACTCAGAAGCAAAATGATAGGGAGCAAAAAGTGAGGTTAGGGACCGTGCACTGATCTATAGTAGTTGCGTCTCGTCCACATCTATGACACAAATCTCGCGTCACTTTTCAAATCGACCAATGTAACAAATGTAAACAAACCGAGTTAAGCGATACAAACTGTTGCTCTTCTAACATTGTATGTCATACAAAAACATCCATCTAAATTCACTTTCATTTATTTAAGATAATCATAGGTAACAAATTGTCCAATGTACAGTTTGAAATGATGGGTATATGATTGTTACTTCGGTCATTCGGACTGCCTGACATGATTGGTGCTCATTTTTCAAAGGCGGGGCCAATCTAAAGTTAGGTACTATACTCTGAAATCTGTGAAAGAGAATCTAGTATCATGTAGACAAAACGTCCAATGTAACACTCATTGATTATGTCATTGAGAAAAATCGTCCAATGTAACATGTCCGATGTACAACTCTACTTGTCAAAACGTCCTATGTGGTTTTTTCTATGTTGTAGCATGAAATTCAAAGTAAAATTGTGATTTAACCGTTTCTTCTGAATTTTCAACTTAATAATACACTGGCTACATTAAAAATAGTATTGCAAAATGTATTGTTTTTAAACAGTTAAATTAATAATCTGTCGAACTTCAACTTCGATTTTCTCAAAATGGTGGATATGTTACATTGGTCTATTTGAAAAGTGACGCGAGAAATGTCATTCCCACACTGAACCTAGAAATCATGTTAAATTTATCTGAAAACACACATAATTATTTTCCATGTAGCTTTTCACATAACTTCTATGTGCAAATCACATAAAAATTCGAGAGATGATTTTGATAACATTCATTGGAACAATCACATACATCTTATGTGAAATACCCATGAGGGTTATTGGTTTTTGTTAATAAATTTTATGTGAAATACCAATGAAAATAATTGGTTTCGATAATAAATTTCATGTGCTTTTTTAATACTTTTTAGATGAATTCATTTTTAGGTTTTATCATACATGTCATTTCAGTTAAATAATCAAACAATTAAAATAATGTTTCAAATTATTTATTTAACATAGCTTTGCTACTATTTGTTCCTTACAAACTAATTACAATCGTGTGTATTAAAATTAGGTTTTAAGCGAAAGTAAAACTGTTCTCCTATTCTATGCACCATAATTGGCGGACAACTGAAAGCGTCGATATGAATAATTTCAACTTGTGGTATCGCTTCGATTGCTGTAAAAGCCATGTAATGGTCGTCAAAGATCCCTGATTGCCATGTTTTAGCTACAAAAAAGTATTCTTCATTTTCCTGAATAATGTCTAGTATTTGAAACAAACATAAGTCAGTGCTCTTAAATAGCGTTACAAAGTTTCCAGCTTTATAACTAGTACCTTTATATGTGATTTTACTAGATATAGCAACGTCAAACCCATTTTTAATGATCATAGGTTTAGTAATATTGTCATAGTAATTGCGCAAACGAATATCACTGATAACAAAATCTCCATGTACTTCAACCTTTAAAAAAATTCCGTTAGATAAATTGTAAGCAAATTGCAAGGAAGCTTTTACGCATAATGTATAACAAATATTTTTGCGTGACGACATGATGTGAGCATATTGCTTGAAATTTTTGTGCATTGCTTCGTTTCTGAAACACATCATCTTTTCTATGGGCCCAGAAGTTCGTATCAAAGTTGGATAGTGCACGATAAAATGATGCTTAGGTTTTAACTCCTTTTTAAATAACTGTTTATACAGTTCGTGATGTGTTGTGATAGCTTCCTTAAGATAATCAATTTCAATTTCAGTAAATGATCGTTTAAGGCACATATCAACAAGTCTTATTAACGCTTTACAATAGTTCCAGACTTCATCTCCTCTTGGTACAAAGTAGCCCACGATAAAAGGAAAATAATGAATCAATGAACGCATTTCACTGGATGTTAGTTTAAATGATATAGATTTCCTTTTCTCTTTGCTATGGTACGAACTTGAAATATCGGGCATCCTTTGCAACTCACTATCCAAGCAATGCTTACTAAAAGCTTTCCTCCGATTATTGAAATCTTGAACGGTAAAATATCGTTTTTTGTATATGCAATAATCCAAAACATCTACCAATCCATACTTGCAAATGCCACCGCTGAAGAGATCATGCATCGCATCTACGCTCTTATTCTCCGTCACGTGAAATGATGGCAGCTCGTTAAAAATGGATCTTCCAGCAATACCTGTTTGACTCTGTTTGTTTATTTCAACGTCTTTATCATAATCATTTCTTCTGCGTATGCAGTCTGCATGTTCTTTAACATCTACTTTGAGCAGTTCTTTAGGTCTGCAACAAAACCGGCAGTAAAACGTGGCGTTGAATCCACTGGAAAATTGCAACATTGTATGCAAACCTAAATTATCGCCCTGAAGTAAGCACAAAACAATTCTTACATTAACTGATTTTCCCTTAACATCTAATTGTATTCCTTTCTCTTCCATAGACTTGAAGTTTTCTATCATTACAGCTAACAGTTTGTTGATGCCAGTATTTTTCATATCCACTTTCTTGATCATTCCTGCTACAAAAATATGAGAAAGCTTGGCGAGGAACTGATCAGGTACGGTTGGAAAATTATAGTAAATACCACACACTGAGTGCCTATTAGAATGAGAACTTTGTGAGTCGTTGACTTCAAACTCATCGGCATAAAGCCAAATTGGAACAATTATGTCTCCTTCATATTTCTGATTTATTTGTTTCCATTTAGATCCGTTAACGAAATTCAAAATGCCGTCTGATTTTTCGAGCATTGCAGTGTTTTCCAAAATTGTATGTATTGTATCATTTGATTTCAAGAAAGACTTGATTTGAAATTCAATAGGCATCATTATCATATAACTTTTTGTGCTTTCAATTTCTACATCATCTTCAATATCTATTCTTCTGGACACAAGATCTTCGTTTTTATCTATGGTGATTATAGACGGCAATTCTAGACCTTCATTTTTCATCAAGTGATTGAAAAGCTTACAGTCGGAACCAATGGACTTAAACATATTCTTCATTTTTGAAATGTAACTTTCGTAATAAAATTGTGATTCTGCATTAGGTGCAATCATTTGAAGATCTTGAAACTGATTGGCTATCTCAGTAAACATTAAGGTTATTCCTTCTTGAATATCATAAACGTCTTTTCTGCTGACATTCGTTTTCACATGTAAACTTAGGGTGAATGCTGTAGCTGATTTTTCAAGTTGATTCAATTTGTCAGATGATCCTCCTCCATAATCGCTGCTGACTTCTGCGCTGTTTTTCTGTCGTTTTATTTGGTGATCTTGATTCTCGATCTCGATTCGATCGATATCCGGAGATAATGGACTACATTCCATGGCATTTGATTGATCTGCGCTTTCTGGGCTTATGTGACCGATGATATGTTTTTTGAACGGATACAATTTAGAAAAAATTTGACTGCATGACGATACGGTGCATCTGTAACGATAGTGCACTGGAACCCTATGATGATTTTTTAAATGTTCGAGATATACGACAGCGGTCTCGAAAGTGACGTTGCAGTGTTCGAACATACATTTAATCATGGTTCACTGTTGTCGAATCTTCAGTTTGAATTAGAAAATTGTGTAGGCGATTTACACTTGCGTAGGACTCGCGATGCTCAATGTCGTAGATAGAGCAGCTGATGAAATGCCAAATAAGTTTTGATATCTTCGAATAGGGTAAACCAAACAAGTGTGTGGTTTTAATAAGTACGTCGATTGCCCTTGCAAATGATGTTAACTCGAAGCAAAAGTCCGGGTAGTATACATAAAAACGTCCGGTTAAGGTTTCCAGTCCTGTCCCCACGGCAACTAGTTTTGGGGAAATCGGTAGCTTCCTGTCAACATACGATGTGTAAATCGCCTGAACTTTCAGAACGACTTGATCACTAGATTCAACAAATAAAATCGTATCCTCTTGAGCCAAACAAATGGTTGGCTTGAACTTTGAGCTGGCAACGTTCGGAGGAAGGACTGTACTCAAGCCAAGTAGAAGTGCGCACAATTTGGTGTCTGCAAAGAAATAAAATATGGAAATTAATTGAATTGGTTGCATACATTTTTTTTTCGATTTAGGTACCTTGGTTTACGTAACTGCTCGTTAAATATTTCAACAGTTTTACAGCTGAAGGATCGGTGGATTTCTTGGCGATGAATAAAGTTATTGCAGCCGTTGCCAATTCAAGCTTCCGCAAACCATCGAAGGAACCTATGCTCAACAACTTACAGTCAATATCCACCTTTTGAAAGAAAAATGTCAATTAGTACAAACAATGTGCTTTTCACAACTGAAAACAAATTAAAACAAATGTTTGCAAAAAGTTAAAATAATTAACAACAAAGTTAGCATACTGAGGAAAATCATTACTCACTAGTTGATATCCATGGTAAATCTTGTAGTGCGAGTATCTGGAAAACAGCATAGGCAGTGATTCCGCACTTTGAAGATATTTTCTTCTGATCGGGAAACTGGATGTCCACTTTTCAAGTACAACAGACCAAGGTTCCTGGTTTAAGGCCAACCATTCAGCTGCTTCGATAGAAGCCGGATCAGAAGATGTATCGATTCCCGCTGCCACTTTGGCCTGCTTGCAGTGTTCCTTTTCTTTTACATCAGTTTTACGTTTTTTTTGCTTGAGGTTCGAAATTTTGTTGGCGATTTTGCCTCCATGGTTGCGCCGTTGGCCGCTTCGGCAGATGAAGTAGTTTTCCTATGAGAATATAAATAACTAGCATCAAAATTTGCCTGACGAACATTTATTTTTTATTATTACTACCTTTCGCTCGAACTTGAAGAGACTTGTTACAGCCAGTGAATAACTTTCCAGATCCTCGGTGCGTAGTTTATTTT